CACACACACACACACACACATGGAAAGGTGCGTGCACACTATTCCTTCCGTTTGTCTTAAATGGTGGTAGAAGAAAGACGGAATATGACAAGTCTCTCCTTCATTCTGAACACTTTGTCTCACCAAAGCAAGGATACATGTCACCTCTTCACCTCACACTCCACTCATCTCGTTCTTTTTTTTTTTCCGTACCTTCTCGCTTTTTTTTTAAATATTTCTTCTCATTTTTTTTTCTTTTTCTTCTTCCTCTCTTCTTTCAATCTCTCTATTTTTTTTTTGGGGGTTTCGGTTTTCTTCTTGTATTCGTTGTGTTCCGCAGGTTGCGCATTCTACGTCCTGCGGCATTAAGGTTACTCCATCACGCTCACGCGTCCCTTACACACACACACACACACAGTCACACAAACTCCATTCGCCTCTCCCTCGCTCACTTGCTCGTCCGTCCTACAGCTCTCCTCACTGAAACTTCGCACGTCTAATTGCGGCCCTCCTCCTCCTCGGGGTTGAGGCGCACGCAGTCGTCGATGCGGAGAATTGTGATGGCAGCCTCCGTGGCAAACTGCAGCGACTTCACCTTACTCGGCTGCGGCTCCAGCACCCCAGCCTCCATGTTATTGCGCAGTGTCCCCTCAATGAGGTCGAGGCCGCAGAAACGTGCAGTGCTGGCACCCTTCCCTGCCGCCTGCTGCTGTTGCTGCTCGCTGTGCTCAACACGCAGGCGCGCCACCAGATCGGTCGCGTCCATCGCAGCGTTGAGCAGCAAAGTCTTTGGAATGACGAGCAGCGACTCGGCAAAAGCGCCAATCGCGAGCTGTTCGCGGGAGCCGAGTGTGTGGGCAAAGTTCTCGAGATACACAGAGAGCGCCACCTCCACCGCGCCGCCACCGGCAACGACGTAGTTGGCCTCTAGCGTGCGTGCAACAGCCCACAGGGCGTCGTTGAGTGCGCGCTCCATCTCCTCGAGCACCAGGTAGTTGGCGCCGCGGCACATAATGCTGGCGCACACCGCGTTGCTGGTGCCAGAGATGATGATCGCGTCATCCTCGCCGAAACGCTCCTCGTACACGTGCTCCGCCTTGCCGAGCCACTTGGGGTCAAACACCTCCTCCCCCTCAAGGTCAGAGAGCGAGTGCACCACCTGCGCCCCCGTCACCTTGGCGATGCGGCGCATGTCGTCCTTCTTCACGCGGCGCACGCCGAGGACGCCCTCGTCGACCATGTACTTCATCATGCTGTCCTCGATGCCCCACGAGGTGAGGATCACGTTGGCACCAGCCGCGATCATCTTCTTGATGCGCTCCATCGTGATGTCGAGCTCGCGCTGGCGGATCGCCTCCGCCTTGGTCGGGTCGTTGATGGTGATGTTGATGCCTAGCTTCATCTTCACCGCACGCAGGTCAAAGTCAATGAGGGCGATGCGAGCGTTCTGCACCGACGTCGGCATCCCCTGCGCGGCACGCGAGAGGCCGAGCGCGAATCCCTGCATCAGCTTCGATTCTCGGGAGCTCTTGCCGTGCTGCAGGAGAATGCTCACCGCCTTGCGTGGGTACACAACATCGCCCAAGTCGTTCACAGTCTTGACCGACAGGATCGCATCCACCACAATTTTGGCGAAGTGTTCAGAGTCAGTGTTGAGGATCTTGCTGCTCATCGACGTGCGGGCCACATTGAGGAGGACTTCCTTGCCCAGCGAGTCCACCGACATGCTGAGGCTGTCCTTCAGGTACCGCACGGCCTCACGCAGCGCAAGCTTGTAGCCGGCAATGATGCTCGTGGCGTGGATGCCATGCACGATGAGGTCCTGTGCCCGCTTCAGCAGCTCAGAGGCGAGGATAACGACAGACGTCGTGCCGTCGCCGATCTCCTTGTCCTGCAACTGCGCGAGGTCAACGAGGAGGCGGGCGGCGGGGTGCTCGACGTCTAGGCTCTTCAGGATAGTTGCGCCGTCGTTGGTGACGCAGACATCGCCAATGTCGTCGACCAGCATCTTGTCGAGACCGATGGGGCCGAGCGATGACTTGACAATGTTAGCCACAGCAACTGCGGCTGTCACGTTCTCGCGCCGTACCGCCAGGCCGTTTGTGCGGGTGCCGTTGATGCCTAGCGCCGCCTTTTGCTTCGTCTGCATCTCTTATGAGGCTTGATGAATGAACTCTTGTGGCGCGGAGGTGAACGGCGCAAAGAAACGAGCAAGAAAACAAACAAAAAAAGAAACAAGAAGAAAGCGAGGCACATGTGAACGACAGACAAAAACGAAAGAAAGGAGAAGTGCGACGGAAGGCACTCACACACACACACACACAGTCACACAGAGACACACCTACACGCAGACAAAGATACCAAGCCCCATGGGTGGGCGAGTGACTAACTGAGAGAGGGGGAGATGAAAAGAAAACAGAGACATCAGAGGCAATACGCCAACAGTCTCCCCAAATACTGCAATTCGCACACGTACAATCCACCCTATTCAAGCATTCGCCCACAGCCGCAACGAAATCATGCAGTCACGTTACACCCTCCATCATCAATCGGTTCGCACGCCTTGAAAGGAATGCGAATAGAATGCCGGCGACCACCAGCACCATTGAAAAACAGCTAATCACCAAGAACCCACTCAAGTTCTTGAGCACAGTCGAGTACACAACATCGGTGCAGACTACCGGCGTCATGGGCGGGTACGGCGGCGGGCACTTCGGGCAGACACGGCTCACCCACTGCGGCGGGTCACTTGCGTTGTAGCACTCCCCAGGCAGACAGCACCCGTCTCGGAAACCAGAGCAATTAAAGCGTTCCTGCAAAGAGCAAATATCGTACTTATTGCCCGTATAAGTGTCATTGACGCCACGCTCCCATGCGTCAAAAAAGCTACTCGGGTCCATCACGGATACGCGGGCGTCCTTGTCGTACACAGCCGCCGCAATGATGAGCACGAGAAGAGCGATAAAGAGCATCACCAAAAAGCCAACATACACCAGAAGGAACATCATTTGCCGCTGGCGTATCCACATGAACCCAAAAATAGTAAAAAGCCAGAGAATGATGCCAAAGACAAGGGCTGCCAGCGTGATTTGGCCGCAGGGCGCACAAAGTCGCACTGCCGCATTTCCGCGTGCGACGATGCCGGACATAATCAGGAGCATTGACGCCACAATAAAGGTGAAGTTGATGAATATGAGAGCGTACCCAAATAACGCCTGGAGCATCTCTTTAGAGTAGCGCGAAGAAGTGTCTGCATTCAGAACGTTGCATGCCTCATCATCATCGTTGCGGCGGAGTCGACCCAAATTCGTTGAGCTCCACTGGCGGTGCTCTATCTTGGATGATGTGACTGACGCAACTTCGGTATTATCCTTTGTTGTGACAAGGAGTGAAGCTTCGCGTGGGAAGTGCTGCTGTTGCTGCTGCTGAGGATTAGCGAGGATGCCGTCGACGAAGGCATCTGTGCGTCCTCCACTCCCCTCCCCCTGCATACTCCGTCCCTATGACCTCTTCTTGCTTGCGGGACACAGGAATCGCAATAAGAAGCAATAGCAAGAACTGTGATGGCAACAGCCGTCAGACCAGGCGCAGGCCCAGCTGGGTTGTAAACAAATCTCTCGCTGGATGTGTGATGTAAAATAAAGCTTCGTTATGTGTGGGTGTGGGTGTGTGTTGAGGGGAGGATTTTCATCCGCCCTCGTTGCAGTTCACACCGCCTGTCATTGTGTCGTTGGGTGTGGATTTTGATGGAGTGATGTCCTTTTGTTGTTGTTTTTTTTTTCCTTTTGTCTTTACCCCCGACCCGTTATCCTTTCTTTTCGCACATTATGCAGGGGGGGGGGGCATGCCTTCCCCATTTCTTTTCTTTTCTGCTTGGTGTCAACTCCCGCCACATCCCCTCCCCCCCATGCCAGACCCCTCTTCCGCCCCTCTGAGTTCTATTTTTTTTCCTGCGGTCTCTCTTTGCGCCACTTCATCTCCGATTGCGCTCGCGCGCACAAACACACAAACAGATATATATACATATATGTATATGTATACATATCACCTACGTACCTGTCGCCGCCCCCCTACATCTTCGCCATTGTCGCCTTGGCGTGCTCCTGTCGCTTGCGGAGATCGTCCTCGCGCTTAAGCAGCCCCCTGAAGTACTTGACTGTCTTTACCTTGAGCTCCAGCGTCGCATCCTCGTCAAGGCAAAGGACGGCGTACGGGTGCAGCTGCAGCGCGGTGACGGGGTGGGCGTGCGTGATGCTGCCCTCGACGCAATGCGCCACAGCCACAGCCTTGTTTGCGCCCGTTGCGATCACCACAACGTTACGTGCCTGCATCACCGTCTTGATGCCGACAGTGAGCGCCATCGTTGGAACCTTGCGCATGTCGTTGTCGAAGAAGCGCGCGTTGGAGGCAATAGTCTCCTCATTGAGGGACTTCACACGTGTGACGCTATCGAGGCTGCTGCCAGGTTCGTTGAATGCCAAGTGGCCGTCGGTGCCGACGCCGGCAAGGAAGAGGTGGATGCCGCCCAGCAGCCGGATCTTGTCCTCGTAGCGGCGGCACTCCTCGAGGAGATCGGGGACGGTGCCGTCCAGCAGGTTACGGTTCTCCTCCGGAATGTCCACAAAGTCGAAGAAGTTTGTCTTCATGAAGTAGTAGTAGCTCTGCGGGTGTTCACGGGGAAGTCCAACGTACTCGTCCATGTTAAACGTCACCACGTTGCGAAAGCTGACGCGGCCCTCGCGGTACGCCTGGATGAGGCGCTGGTACGTCTTCAGCGGCGAGCCGCCGGTGGGGAGGCCCAGCACAAACGGCCGCTCCTTCGACGGCCCGAAGTTTTTGATCTGCGTAATGATGTACTTGGCAACGTAGTCCGCCACGGCATCGTCGTTCGGTGAGATGACTATGCGCATGATGTATGTGTGTGTCTGTGTGTTTCTCCCTTGTTTGTGGCGGCTCCTGAAGGAACTGATAAACCAAAAATAATGGACCTTGCTGACGGGTGCTTGTATTCTCTCTGAAAGCGCTTCCACCGGCGGGCAACAGGAGCAGCCGAGGAAACAACAAGGCAACACACAAAAAAAAAAAGAAGAGAGCACGAAGGAGACAGAGACAGAGACAGAGAGGAGACAGCGGCAGAGGCACGATGAGGCAAACGACTGTGGATGGGGCGACTGCGAGACATGACGGACAAGTGTGTGCTTGTGTGCAGACGCAGCAGACGTGTAGTAATGGAGCCAACGTCAGGGTGACGCAAAGAAGTAAGAGAAAAAGAAAAAAAAACGAAAAAGCACACATTCCAGTTCCGCCCGCCTGCCGCTTCCTTCCTCCCCTCCTTCCTTTCCTTTTTGTCTGTCTGTTTGTTCCGGCGTTCAGGAGCACCACCTGTTGCACAAGCAGACGAGTGTGGTCTCCGGGGAGGGGGGTTGGGGGGCAAAAAAAAAAAAAGAAAGAAAAACATGCACGCACCGTAGGGGGAGCCGCAAGCGACGTGGCAGGGGGGGAGGGAGAGAGGCGAAGTGCCACGGGCAAGCCGATGAAGCAAAGAGCTCTTCGCGTGACACCCCGCCCACCAGATACACAGAATAGCGCCCGCCCGCGCATACACGCACACACACAGGGTCACACAAAACATGCCAAGACGAAGAAAAAAAGAAAAAGAAAACAAGTAAAAACATCAACATCAACACCAACACCAACACGCGCGCAGCGACAAACATCATCGATACATCATCGGGCAGCCGGCTCTAGCTCTCCTCTGCTTTTGTTTTGTTTCAGTTGCATAATCCCCCGCACCACTTCACTTCGTCCCTGGAATGGCAGCCACTGACTAGTAAGGAGTATGGGCGAAACCCTCGCTCGTACTTAGACTTCAGCACCATATAAGGTGCAATCTGTATAGCGGTTTGCCTCTTCAAGACTCACTCCGCTATATCACATCTTCCACCTTTCTAAATTGAACGTTCAGTACGAACATCTGTTTTTTTTGTCGAACATGCAGCAGCCTGTCTCACCTTATCTCTTGGATGGAACATCGTGGAGGGAGCATTTGTGTCCAGTCACACTATGATATGAACCCGTGTTGCCTGATGCCCCCGGGGAACTTTCCGTCATGCCTCCTGGCACCGGTGTACGTCTTGACTGCTTCTTTTTCTGCTTGACCACATTGTTGTTATTGCTGTTGGCAGCACCGTTTCCAACGCCGGCGTTCGTCGTCGTTTTGTTGGATGTAGTAGTGCTTGTATTTGGCACAGTATTCGTGTGAGTGTTATGCATTACTTTTGGAACAGTGGTGGTGCCATCCCGTACAACCGAAGGTGCGTTGAGAACAACAATGCCAGTCGTCGTAAATGGCGCAGGTGCAGGCGAGCTGCAACCACTCGGTAACGTAGGAAACATGGAGTAGTTAAGCTTAAGTGATCTCTTCAATGATTCCGACTTCCATCCTCCCATCTGATCATTTTTGCTGCTACCCACACTTTGCCTCTTTCGATTACTTCGTCCATGCGTTGATGTGCTTGGGGAGACACCTGACGCCTTCGGACCTCGCGGATTGGTGGGAGAGGAAGGATTTACTGTGCCCATTGTGTGGTTACCAGTAACCTTCATCGACTGCAGCGGAGACACATATACATCGTGGATACCTTTGTTTTCTGTCTTTGCCGCACCTTTCATGCTGTTGCGCAGCGGCGTCGGCACGCCCTGATGCAAATGCAACTGGGACTGCGACTGGGACTGCGACTGCGGCTGGCGGCTACCAATGCTTGGAAGTTCACCATTGCTGTTAGGGCCACCACTCATATTCGAGCCCAAGTAGTGGCTCCAGAGAGCACCCAATTGTTGGAAGGGTGAGCCACTACTACAAGCACCACCAGCATCAGAAACAATGACATTGCCACCGGCCAAACCAGTACCAGCGCCCTTTACCGAAGCATCCTTAATTGCCATAGACATGCTCTCATCGGCAGACTCTAAACCTCCCTGAGGCGGTGGTAGTGGTGGTGGTGGTGGCAGTGGCCCTAGAAGCGGCAGCACAAGGTCAGCGCCCTCTTCCTGCTCCGTCACACCCATATGTAACTTATGCTGCAGAGATGTGGGGGTGAGGGTGGTGGAGGTGGAAGGATCCACTGTGGCTGATTGATACTGCTGAAAGAGTCCGCGCAGTTCGGCCTCATACTCTGCACGGAAGTTGTTCTCCGTAAAATATGGCATGCTCATCAGCGCCGCGCACGACGGCCGCTCAGCGGGCTCTGTGCGCAGACATGACGTCAAAAAATCCAACCAATTCTTCGGGCATTTGTGAAAGCGCTGGCGCAGCGCTTGCTCAACTGGAACCGAAGGAAACATAACACGGCGGTACAACGAGTTATGTTCGAAAATATTCACCATGCGATCCGGCACAGGACCACAGGTACGCAGTATAAGGGAAAGTTGATCTAAATCGGAGTCTCCCGGAAAAAGTGGCTGCCCGTCTGAAAGTTCAGAGAAGATACAGCCAATGGCCCATATATCGACAGCCTTGCCGTAGGCCACGTCGCCAACTAGCAACTCTGGTGCTCGATACCAGCGTGTGGCAACGTAGTCTGTGTATTTTCCTCTAGAAGTGAGCTGCCGTGCAAAACCAAAGTCACACAGCTTCAGCAAACCATTCTTTGACACTAGAACGTTTTCTGGTTTCACATCACGGTGGATAATATTGTGCGCGTGGCAGTAATCCACCCCGTTGAGAAGCTGGTATGTGTAGCGGCGCACCTCATCCGCGGAGAGACCGTGGCGTTTCTCCTCAATCAGCTGCAGAATAGTGTGCTCCACGTACTCAAAGACCAGGTAGAGTTTGCCGTCGCGGCGGAACACATCGAGCAATGAGATGACGTTGGGGTGGCGAAGCTGCTTCAACACGCGCACCTCTCGGAGGGACGTCTTGCGCACGTGGTCGTCGTCCTCCGCCTGTTTGTACTTCTTGATCGCCACGAGCCGGCCGGTGGCGCGGTGGCGCGCCTTGACGACTACGCCGTACGTCCCCTCGCCGAGCACGCCTAAGGTCTCGTAGCCCTCCATGCGCAATGCCGCTCAATTCACCGCCCCGATTACCTCGCCGAAGGGAGAAAACAAAAAAAGAAGAACTTTCACCGTCCACGCAGAAGCGCTGGCGATGTGTTTTGCCCTTGTTAGTTTTGTTTGTTTGTTTTGTGTATCTTGTCCGTTCTTTCTTTGTTTGTTCCTTTGTTTGTTTTTGTCGTCTGTGTGCTTTTCTTTTCGTTGTTATGGTTTCTTGCTGTGCTGTCTCTTCTGACCCGTCCTCGTTGTTGTTGTTTCCTCTCCCCCGCTCCTCCTGTTCCCTTGTTCCTACGCTGGTATCGCCCCACCCCAGCAGAAGGGAGACCCACACACCAACACACAGCCACTCGCGATGTCGTACTCGAAGCCAGCTGGGGGGCGGCGAGGCGGCGCAACCGCACACACACACACACACACACACACTAACCCTACACCTGCGGCAAAAGCAACAACAGCAGCAGCAGCACGAGACATGAAAGATAACGTGAGTGAGAAGAAGAAAAGGGGAAAAAAATGGACAGCAAGAGGAAATGTACAGAGAGTCCGCATCGCATTCACATAAATACAATAATAGGGATTGCGGCGTAACGAATAATCAAGATGATGCACGACGCACAGAACTGGCTTCCCACATGTCTACAACCTCGCTTGTGGTCGCCTCACTCGTCAAGATCAAATGCAGAAGCCTTACAGAACTGCGGAGTGCACTCGTTGTCGTCGCAATCGGCTCAACGAAACTCAGACCAAGTGATTTCGCCGCTTCTTGCCTGAAACATACCTCCTCTTCGTCAGATCCGCTACCGCTGCTGCTGCTGCTGCTGCTGCTATCCGTGTCGCTGCAGCAAAAGTAACGTCGCGCACCATCACTACCCATAGCCGCCTCGCACAGAGGCGGCTTTCTGAAGGGATGGTAGTACGTGGGGTCCTCTCGAATGCAGACGTGTAGCGGTGGGCCGCGTGTGGGGTTGAGTGAGCGCAGCGGCAGCGAATCGTCCCGGCACACCTCGAAGCCCTCGAGACGCAGCCATGCGTGTTTCAGTGGGCGGTGATGAGCAGTGACATGGGCGGCAAGGCGGCGCGGCACCTCCAACAGTGCCTCCGACAATACCCGCAGCACCGCTGCCACGACCGGCACGTCAACTCTACTGCCACCAGCAACAACAGAAGCTACAGCTGGATCATCCCCGCTTCGCGTTGTACGCGTTAATGCCTCGGCACTGCGGCGCATCTGCCGCGCCAAGGCAATCGGAAAGGCACCACCAGCCCGCACAAAACCCATTCCGCGCTCGGGGGTCGCGTCCCCACATGGCGATGCGTCTACAGCCGCTAGGACACTCGCCACACACTTCAGAATCAATGTCGTGTATACGCGAAGCTGAGTAGCAGTCGGGCTCACCAAAAGGATTGAGCCGGCTCCTTCCAAGCCACGGGCACAGCTCCTAAAAGCCCCGCTAGGCTTGTTCTGGTCAAGTTCCAACAGCAGCAGCTGCCCAATACCGCCCGTCCCCGCTGTCGCGATGCTGGAAGGAGTAGCCGGTGGGAAAACTGTGTATAACGGGCCGTGCAAGAGACGACGAAACGGCATAAGAGCGTCTTCGGTGCGCTCCGGCAGCACAAGCTTTCCACGTCGCAGTTCCGCCGCGGTGGGACACATTGGCGTCTCACCGTCATTTTCTTCATCCCCCAGGTTCTCATGGTGCCAGTACTGCAGGCGGCGCAGCAGCGCATCAAAGACCGTCGCATCCACCTCATCCACCATAAAAACGGGACTATTTTTTTTAGTGGCATCACTGCTGCTGGGGGTGGTGCTTTTGGTGTTGTCGGCCCTGTACCTCTGCCCGTACGTCTTGATAACAGGAGGTGCGTGCGACGGGGTGACGATGACAGCCACATCATGCGCCCACGCCCACTCATAGAGCAGCCGTGCCGCCTCCAACTGCGCCTCCTCCTGCTCTGGTGCCGTCCACGGGCGCTGCACATTCCTCATGCACCACCCGTCGCAGGTGCCGCCGCCGCCGCCTCCTACCGCGTCGTGTCGCCCCTTGGAGTGCTCAAAGTCTAGCAAGCCGCCTCTGTTGTCGATGCGCAGCAGCAACACCCAACCGCGTCGTTCTGTAGCATGGCCGCCGTCCAGCACGAGGAGTGGCGTCGCCGTGCCCTGGTGAGCAGACAGCCTCTCCGACGCAGTGGGCAATGCAATAGTGCCGCACGGCAGTGCGCGCGACGACAGAACTGAGCAACCCACACACGGCACAATGCACAATGCCGGGTCCGTCAGCAGACTTCGCGCGCGCGCTGCAACAGAGCGCGTAGGGGCCCATCTCTTTGGATACTCGGAGCCCCACAAAAAACGCACAAGTATTTGCCGAAGGGTAGCCAACACGTCACCCTCGACTTCCGTGCTCATGACAACGTGAATGCACCCCTCCAGCACCCGCCGTGTCACCGTCGAACCAACGCAATAAGAGCAAGGACGCACCTCTCGCAAGCAGACGCGCGTCATTCTCCCAATCACGTCGTCCTCCGCCTCTTCTACCCCACCAAAGTCCATCTCAACGGGGACACTGCGCAGCCCACCGGGTGTCGTCAGTTCGCGCAGCACCCGCACGAGCCGCAGCCGGTTGCGGGGCGATGACCAGGTGCCAGTGATGGGATAGCACGCCTCAGGAGACAGCAGGTGACGCAGCAACGCCGCGCCCGTGACGAGCAGCCGGCCATGGCCGTCAAACATTTGGTTACGTCTTCTTCCATAAGCATCACTTTCTGCTGTTGCTGCTGCTACTGGCGCCCCGTTGAAGAAAGCATGCCACAGCACCCGCCATGCAGCGAGTTCGGGAGTGTTCTGCAGCACGTCTGCTGCCCGTTGCCGCCACAGCTGCAGCTCACCTTGGACATTCACAGTCGCGGCGAGCAGCCCGTACGGGCCGAGATGAAGCCGCTCGGAACACTCCTGCAGCGCCTGCGCTAGAGACCGCAGCGAGTGAGCTGGGGATGTGAAGAACACCACCCGCCGCGACAATGGCAGCGGCGAGCTGCACCCCTCAACGTCCTTTGACATCCTGTAACGCGCGCCGCGTTGTCTGGAAGCTACTCATTCCCTTTTTCCGCTACGTTACAACCCCCACACAGAGCAGCTGAGGGAAAAGGAAAAGAAAAACAGTAGGATCACCGCACACAACACTCGTCCACCCAGGCGCCCGCACAAAGACAGACGCATTGCAAAGAGTGGGAGTAAGGTGGTGAGGTGAAAGGCCCCGTCTCTGCCACTCCACCATTGAAGGTCATTGCAGAGTAATTGCACACAGCCAACAGTCCGATGATAAATGAACCAAACAAACATACAATTCCGCTCGTCGGATCATCCTAACGCCGATACATGTGTGCACCTCTCTGTCCTTTGCCTTTTTTTCGTTTGCTGCCAATACTCGACTCTATTCCCACTTGGAAGTGGGCCAAACACATCCCCACAGACGCATATGTAAACACAAGAAGAAAAGGCATCTACATCGTCACATTTAGTTGAGCTACTGAAGCGACAGCAAAGAAGCAAGAAAAATCCAGAAAGAAGCACCTCCTTTCACATCCTTTCATTGTTGTTCTTCTTGTTTAAAAGTCGATGTAGGCGTGTGTCAGGCTTTCTCCTTCTTTTCCCTTGCTTTACCCTTTTCCTCCTTGCCAACCTTCTCTCCTTTAAGGGCACCCTTTCTGTGCTGCTCAAGCTCCTCGTCCTTCTGCTTTCGCATGGCGTCGATCGTGGGCTCCCCGAAGCCGCCGTCACCGGTGTCGTACAGTTTCTTGAGGAATGAGTCGTTTTGCATCCGGCCCTCCGACCTTTTCGGGGGGAACATGGCGTCAAAGGGCGCCTTCCAGCGGTCGAGCTCAACGTCGCCGGTGGAGCGAAAGTCACCCATGTCGTGCACCATTGGATCGCCAATGTCAGCAAATGTGTCGGCATCCGGAACGACGAGAACGGCGCCGCGTTCGGGATCCAACTCTATATGTCTCGAGTCTAATGGTGCGAGGAAGATGATGTGGCTCATCAAGGACCGCAACTTCGTTGTGTCATTTTCGCTGGTGAAAACCAAATACGCACCGTACATGTGCACAATGTAGCGCATGCAGCGGACCATCGCCTTCAGTTGTGTCATATCCCCTGCGAAGGCGTCTAATTTGTTGCAGACGACGATGGTGGGCACGCCAGAGAGACGGAGCCGGCCGAGGTCCGGGTGCGTCTCCCCAATTGTGCGCTTGGCCCGGGCCTGGAGCTTGTCAGGCGTTGCCGAACCCTTGGCACGCATCTTTTGTGTAATCTCCATCACGCGACGATCGATGCGCTTCAGCCAGTACGCCGTCGTCTCCCACATGGTGGATGGGTCGCCGCAGTCGACCACAATTGTCAACATCATGGTGTGTACGTTCTCGGGGGTAATGACCACGTCGCAGAGTTGTGAGAGCTCCATGCCCTGCGCCAGCTCCCAGAAGTGCGCCACCTGCGAGATGTGGCGGTCATTGCGCCGGGCGAAGGTGTAATCGAGTGCGGTTGTAGGTTTTACCTTGAGGGTCGTTTTACCAGGGGCATTGCTGGAGGTGTTGATCGCAGCGAAGAGGCGCTGCAGCACGGTTGTCTTCCCACCACCCGGAGATCCGACGACCAACATGTGTACCTCTGTCTGTGTAACGTGGTTCTCCTTCGTGTTGAGTGCAATATTCTGCCACAAGTCCTTCGTGGGGTCGATGACGACCGGTGGCATTGCCGGGCCCTCGTCGGTGGGCGATGCGTCACCGTCCTCACGCACCGCATCGGGCGGCTGTGCGGTGTTAGGCGTGGTGGTGCTGGCCCCCGCCTCCTCCGCATGGCTGTTGGTGGCCTTCGGAGCAGAGCCGTTCTGCTGATTGTCCATCACCCCCACCGCTACGCTACACGCCGCTGTTGTTGTTCGCCTCCACTCTAACTGTTTATATATAGATATAAACGACAGATATATATTTATCTATCTCTGTGTGCGTGTGTATTCAACTACGCTTCGCACCGGTAGAATCCGTGACGCTTGCACACACCACACCGCCACGTTAAAAGGCTTTACTCCAGTAAATAAAAAAAAGAGAGAAGCGGCAGAAGAAAGGAGGAGGAAAAGAAAGGAGGAGGAAAAGAAAGAAGTACGGAGGATAGCCTTCCACTAGCACACGGTAATGTTCAATAAAAACGTCGCCCCCACGTGTTCCACATGGAGTTCTGCGGCGGCTGCCAGAAAGACAGATTCATTGAACGAAACACACAGCGGGAAAAATAAAAACGCAGAGGGAGTAAGTATGATGCAAGGGGGGCCATGGGGTCATGGGGCCACGTGGTTTCGCCGTTTTCCTTTTTGTAACGATTCCGTTGGTCTTAGAGAATACATGGTGAAACAAAAGAAATCACAGACACCACAGCCCCTTTCACCTTTGTCTTGCCTCGGATGAGAGCAAGGCGGGGGTGGCGGAGCAGCAGCCTGCATGCTGGCGCGAGTTGCGAGTCCATATTCACCCGCCCGCACCCTCTTCGCTCCGACCCCCCCCCCCCCCCCCCCCCCCAC